TAGATGATCTTAGACGTCCTTTGATCCAAGATCTGCTCAAACACTACCCGATCTATAGCCTGGAACAGATAATGTTTTACCTGATTGTCTTTCATCTTGAGATCGTCAAGTTGTTTTCGTTGCACTGCAGTCACCTCTGCTCCCGCGGCCCCTTCACTATAGCCCTCTTCCACCAGACTCCATAACCCCTTAGCACGCCAGAGACTTTCCATCAATTCACTCCACTGGTCGTAATGACCATCAAAATGAGGAATTTTGGTAAGCGTCTTGTCCTCACTCATCTTCATTCTCTTTTCTTTCTTTGATCACTTTGATTGTATTTTGCTCTGATACCAAATGTGGTTTTAGAATCGGAGATTATTATAAACTGAGACACTTCTACAAACGACTGTATTTCATAGTTTTTCAGTAAGATTTCATAGTATATACTATGACTGAAAAAGTTACCGGTTTCAAATTAATTCTACAAATAATCACTAATATGTAAGCCAAGTAAGCCGTAGTAGAATAAGGCGAGAAGAGAAGAATACGCAACAAAAGAAATAAAGACGACAATGCCACAACCACTCGCCCAAACCATCATTGAACAAGAAGACTGATAGAGCCTCTGCCTCAAGAAGCTAGCAATCACAGCTATCCAATGCTTCTTACGCAGAAAAACGCCTGTCCCAGACCAGATCCTCCACCGAAAACCACCAAGAGCCGACACCGAGTAACTCACAACAACCCAACAACTTGGAAATTACTCAACTCCACCGGAATGGGCAAATTAAAGACAATCAGCACAAGCTTTTGCTCCTCCATCAACATGGCTTCAACTCCCTGTCCGCCGTCGTCGCAAAAACATAAAGATATCGCCTCTTCTCTCACCGTCAGAAATCGCCGATGGAAAGAGAGAGAACAAGAGAGGAGAGGGAGTTTGATTTTAGGGTTTTTTCGCAAAGTGTAACTTTTATATATATTCAAAGGAACCGTACATTGGAATGCCAAACTCTTGTTTAGCCAAACACATAGCTATAGATTACATATTTGTGAATTGAATTGTGAAATTCTTAATAATGTCTAACCACATAAGAGAGCAGTTCAAACACTACATGAGATACCAAAGGTGCTTCAGCTTGTTGATCTGACGAGAAAGGGGCACATGAAAACCTACCATAGGCTTGAAAACATTTCAATAATCGGTGATGTTCAAGAGAGATTAACTCAATATCTCCGGTTTCAACCCTCTATAACACTGCATTCCATCTATTTTTGCCAAAATATAAAACTAAACCTTTGAAACGATCCTATCAAGCTCAAAAGAAATGGATCAAAATAAGAAGGATCTAAGCGATAGATGAAATCTATCAGAAAGTTTAAGCAGAAAATAAAATACTAAACGAGGACAAATCGAACCTCTCAGTTAACCCCGTCCTAAAAACCTTTACACTTAACGTGCAACCCAGCGGAACCATGAGTGCAATCCAATCAATCTTAAACTTCTGCAAGTGTCTCAACCACTAAAATCCTAAAGCTTAAAGGAAAAGTAACAACAAAGCAAGCCAAAGATCGAATATTAAAAACTTAGAAATACACGTGGCAGAGTCCACACTAATTCCGTGGTAACAAAATGCATCCTTAAACTACTAAAAGAAACAGACTCCTTCTTTACTAGCTACTAGATTTTAACCCGCGGTACACCGCGGGATGATTTATTTTTAAAATTAGTATAAAAATATTTTATAAACTGTATCTCCATATAAAATATTTATTTATATTATAGTTTACAATTGTTATTAAGTAACGGTATACCACGAGTCCACGACTCAATTCTTAATAAACTGAGGATTTAACCCGTATTAAAGCGGCATGTTAATGATATTTATAAATATTGATTCAAATACGTCCGCCATATAAACCCGTTCCGAAATATAACCCGTTCTATAATTTCTTAACCCGTCTCGTGATTTATTTTTATTTTAAAATTTAATGATTATTTCTTATATAAAAAAGTTTACAAATCATATCATTCTCTAAGACATTTATATTTTAATAAACTGAAGATTTAATCTGTATTAAATCTACATGTTAATGATATTTTAAAATTTTATAAATATTGATTCAAACTCGTCCACCATATAACTTCGTTCGAAATATAACCCGTCTTGTAACTTCTTAACCCGTCCCGTGATTTGTTTTCTAAAGTAGTAATTTTTAAAATTTAATAATTATTTATTATATATAAAAGTTTGCAAATTGTATCATTTTCTAAAATATTTATATTTTATAGTTTACAATTGTTATTAAGTAACATTATACCACAGGACAATTTTTGGTTTTATACAATATTTTCTAAATGAGACTGATTTAATATGTCTAATATTGGTGGTGCTAAAAAAATTAAAGATTTAATCCGTATTGAAGTGGTGGATTAATGATATTTTAATCTTTTTATTATTGTTGATTCAAAAATCCGTCCCGCCAAACCCGTCCCGCCAAAAAACTCATTTATTTTATTGATGTTGATCTTATTTATGATATGATTTTGAATCATTGTCTAAATATTTTAATCGATGTAGAACGTTGAACACACATTTTCGTGAATTGGATAATATATGTCCGTTTTTAAAAAATGAATTCCGAGTTTTATATTCAATTTAATCGGTTCCGAAATAATTTCAAAATATCCGATTTTATTTAAAAACGAATTCTTACAATTAATGCATAATATGGGATATTTATCATGTAATTAGTTTCCTAGTTTTCAGGTTCCAAAATTAATTATGTTACAATTTTGGTATATTCTCTAATAAAGGCTCAAATCCTCCACGTCTATCTTTAATTCATTGCTACATCTTTGTAAAATTAATTGAAATTGGGCCATCAGAATTGCCCATCAAGAGAATCTCAAATATAGATACTGTGGAAAGATTGGTAAAATCCGGTATTTTTAACGGGTATTAGAAAACCCGATCCAATTTTTTTTTTTTGTGAAGGATATTTTGAAACGGGTCGGGTATCCAAATAATCCGGGATCATTTTTACCCACCCGTCACCAAAATGACTGCAAAAATACTAGTATAGATGTTACCAACCGAAGATCTGGACATTGCATCTTTGGGCTATTTTAGTTAGCAAAAATACAAGAGAGTTGTTAGAGAAATTTTGAAACTTTTAAGAGTCATTATAGGTAATTTCTCTAATTAGAATAACTCATATTATAATAATTAGTGTTTTTGTTTTTTTTTTAATCCTTAAAATACCCCTTATAAGCTTTGTGCAGAAAAACAGAACTAAAAAAATGCCATAAAAAAAATAAATGTCAGAGGTGCAAAAATTGCGTGACACGGAGACTTTCTTAATGGTATATGGATATTTTTACGTGGGATTTGTATTTACACAGCAATACCTATTAATGAGGAGCTTATAAGCACCAAAATCTAAGCATTGGTAGACACAAACATGGTTTGGTCATAATTAAGAAGCATAATTGATGATGATATGAAGAAGATGATATCATGATGGATTGACGATGATAGTATGCTGATGATGATAATGATGAGGAATTGAGGATGATGATGAGTTGATTATTAGTCGCTGATGATTGTGATGAATATAAAAACAACATTTTGGTCTTGTGTATTTTATAAAATAATATATATTGACAACCATTTTATATTTGACCTTTCATTAATCAATTATAGCAAAAATCTTCAACTCGTTAGAATTGATAGGTCGGATTGGCATTGTCGAATACATAGCTTAGCTTTTATATTTAGTTAAACTGGGTCATTTTGAAAACTACCCTATTTCTGAGTTTTAGTTTGAAAAATACCTTTTTCTATTTTAAATAAAAACTAATTTCTTTATATATAGAATATGACATTTTTTCCTGATTTAAATTAGAATCCATATTTTAATATATCAAAACTAAATTCGAAATTTGGAGATTAAGATAAACTAAATTCGAAATAAATATAAATTATTATTATAGTTTTTATTTTATTTTAAGAGAAAGATGGTTTATTGATTTTTATACTAAAATTAACAAGATAATATCTAAAACCTATAATAAAGTTTATACCTTAATATTTATCATGTTATATAAAGAAAAAAAATCTCCAAAACTCCAAATTTATGAACGCAACGAAGTCTACATCTTTAAAAATTGTAATATAAAATGTTCAAACCATATACCTAACTAGGCGCAAGTTCGGTTAACTTTTCATGTGGTAGAATATCCGTTTTTTAATAATATATATTTTTTATTAATTTTTTAAAGAATAGTTAGGCTAACAAATCTTTAGAACGAACTTATATAAAAAATTGTAAGAATTTTTCTTATTATTATTAAAAATCGATGTTATATTTAAAAGTCTAGATTTTTGGATAATTATTATTAAGTTTTGGAAAAGTTTTCTCTTGGTTATTAAGTCTTAGTAAAGTTAATTAAGTAATTTTAAATATTTAAAAATTAATTTTGAAAAAGAAAATAAAAGTAAGGTATTTTTCAAAAATGTAAATAAAAACAAGGGCATTTTTCCAAATTTACTCTTTTTTTATAAGGTTAAATGTTTTCTTAATTGTTTCTAAACATTTAAATTATTTTTTTAATTTCTAAAACTGATTTAATCTCTAAAGTAGAGATCGAAAACTAACCTTTGCATAGATTAGGCATGGTTGAGTTGTTTGGGTTTGAGAAGATCCTTTAGCTTCCTACAAAATGTGAATGCAGTCACTACTCTTATTAATATAATGTGATTGAAATTTAGTCATGAGCTTTAGATAGATATATTAATCAAGCAATTCCATTACATTGAGAAACGTTGTGGGAAATGCACATATCATCACTTCTTTCAGATAGCATGATCCATCATGGAACAAATTCCTTTTTTAATCGCCTATTGTTTTTGAAGTGATGATCACAATCTACGTTCAAAAGATATTCTCCATTGAGAAGAATAGCTGTCAAGTGTAAGCAACGCTTGATCAGGGGAAATAAAAGTCAGATCTTAAGAAATCATAGTTGCTATTTATCGACTAAGCCAATTACCTAGAAATGTAGTCGCATTACGTAATAGTACGAAGCCACTGATCTCATACAACAAAACAAAAAACGCTTCCAAGCCAATGACAAAAGGGAACGTTAGAAAATCGAAAGTTAAACTGAGAGTACCTCTAAAAAATTACCTTGACCTCTATGCTAAGTTAAAAGAAACAGATAAGAGTGTATCAGTGTACCTGAATCATTTCAAGATGGTCTTTAGAGTTGTTACTAGGCCATTGATTAACATTCTGCATTGTCCAACCGTAGTCTTGTATTTTGTGTGCTTTAGCCATTTAGTTGAAACTCAGCCATTTCACAAAAGGATTAAAAAGTTTGCATAGTTGAAGAATCATCACAGAAACAGAACACGCACCTTAATCAAAGTTATGCAATATCAGGTTCTAAGACTTTCACATTTAGCTCCCTAATATTTTGTGAAAAAATAAAAAAAGATGTATGGAAATTGAGAGAAGAAACCTGACCAATCATGAGCATTAATCCAATGGCTCTAACACGGAGAAAACATCCGGAAAGCACTATTTACTACACGATTCAGAAGATAAGTCATGTTAAAACAATGTGGTATTAGATAACCAATTCCGGTGATTTTGATGGTTGTGAAAACACAATTACCTGCACAAGGATAAGAACATCAAGAGGATCGCTGTCTTCCAATGAATACAACCGACGAGTCCGGTGAACCTGAGATTAAATTCAATGTCAGCAATCATAAGATTTAGGAAAAAACCTTGTTACTGTAACTTTATATGAAACATAACACGTAGCTTTATCCAGTGGGCTAGTCCAGAACAAGAATTGAGAAAACCGTATTTACTGTTACAAAAGAAGGCTCATTCATTGGGTCCGCCGTATAACAAACACATCCCCGAGAGAGTTAGCTGTGACGGTTCACCATCATATCTACAATAAATTAAAAACCATATGCAAATAAATAACGCACTATACAAGTTCTTATTCTCAAACCCACTCCCACTAAATCTAAGGATATATATTTTATGTCAGCCTTCTTGTTAATCTACCAATTACCAATCCGGAGGTAGAAATGAAAGGCTTTCTATGATAACAAGTGATTGATTATCAAAATATGGACGTGAGGATAAACTTACCAAAACCATAAACCAAACCGGCCAAGAAAAGTCTCCATTTTTGAAACTCACTAAGAAACAAAGAAAAGACAAACCAGGTCTCACAAATAACTGAGGTCAAACACAGGGTATATGCATCTTTCACTCGACGAGGTGTACATTAATGCAAGAAGACTCACAAAATGATAAGGTGTCATGAGAGAGGATGTGATTTGAACCACACGGTTTATAGGCAGTCTAGCATCATCAACCCTGCAAGTACAAGATCCATCAATAACCAGAAGCAAACAATATTCTATAGTTTGGTGCTGAAGCCCTCCATTGTCTATGGTCTGTCCTTGAAGTTGAATCCTCTGCAATTACATGAAAATTGAACTGTAAGAAAATCATTGGCTTCAGCCATATCCTAGCCAGAGGAATGGACGAGATAAGAATCTTTACACAAGAGACTTGTACTTAAGAGAGATAGCCGACAAGTATGAATGGAATATAATCTAAAAACAGAGTAAAGAAAAAAAAACATAACCTTTGTTTTTGATCCCCTGATGCTCTTCTCGACAAACCTTTTGTTCAACTTTTTGCAATCAAACTATATACAAAACAGATAGTTAGAAAATATTTGAGTATTCAAAGTTTGAAGTACCAGAATATAGAGAATGAAGAAACAAAGCTTTTCGGGTTTGTTGCGGTCAAGATTCTCGTCCTTCTTCTTTGTCTTTATCGTCTCTTTCTTATCTGCAAGAAACATGTGTTATTGTTAGTGACTGACTTAGCTCAAAACGTGTATTCTTTGTATTTGATTTCTTATATTCATCATCCCATTTCATGTAGATCTCCTTGTTCCTATTTTCCCCCTATTAAAAAGTTCAAGAATCTGCACACAAGTTAGAAAATATTGTTGAACTTTTCATTGGTTCACTCCATTGTCATCTTCGCAACCTCATAACTGCTATAGTCACAAGCGTAGCATGATGATTTTGGGAAAAAGGCACCAAAGTGAGAATCATCGTTTCTGTCCGCACCAATTGATGTTCCTAATGACTTCGCGAAAGATAAAACACATAGTAGAAAGAAAACGACCAAGAGTCGATGGAGCTACTCTCAAATCTAAGCAGAAACTTCCATCAAGGAATTAGTTTAAAGCGAGCCTACCATCAACAAGCTCCATAAATCTTAGTCACATATGACTAGCCAAATTCTAAAAATAATTATGAATCATTTTCAAATAACCTGTACTGTAAGCTAGATCTAGAAACTATACCATGTTAGGCTTGAATTACTCCGTTTATTGTAGTTTTTTGTGCTCCACCTTAAGCATCTCGAGTTCCTCCTCTTTGTCGTAAAGATGTAAATGTGAGCACTCATTTTGGGGATCTGATAACAGGTGTAAACCCTATGTTAGGTCCTTAAGTTAGCTTATGGATCATAGTTCCTAGAGTTAACAAACTTACGTTGAGAATTCCCATACGCTGTAAATAAACTTACTTAGTCTTCATTCTTGCTGACAACCTTGGCAACATGAAATGTGCAGAAAAGTAAGCCAAAGCTTATTAGTTCAAAGCAAGCCAACTATCAACAAACTCCATAAGACCATAACGCATATGATTAACTAGATTTCAATAAATCTTAAATAAGTTTCACCAAACCTGAAGTGGGAAATAAGTGGAGAACCAGGGCTAATTCTAGAAATTGTACGATGTTAGGCTGGAATTCCTTCATCATTAGCAGTATTTTTTGCTCCACCTTAAGCGTTTCGAGTTCCTCCCAGCTCAATAAATCATGTGTTTTCTCTTGATCTTCATCTTCTCCACCTTAAGTGTGTTGCTCCTCAACAAAGAGTTCTAGATCGTTCTACATAGAAGAAGAAGATCCATTCCAATCACAAAATTGATAAAAAAACAAAAGAGGCTTCTTTTAATATCACAAAGAAATCGGACTTGATATATAACTTAAGGCTTAGAAGAGAGGTCTTAACTTTCTTAGAAGAGAGGTTGCTTTCACTCAAATGCTCTAAGGATCACATACTCCTGCTTTTATTTGCTTCTAATAACTGTTTGGGTATTATTTCTTTCCATCATCTTCAGGGAGGGCATGCCCCCTCTGTTAGATGTTTAAGGTTTGAAGGCAAGAGAACTGTCACATGTATTGTCCTTCACTGCCTCACATGCATCATTGGATTTAGTAAAGAACTTGGTGTTTCTATCGACGTCTACGCTACATTGCTACAGTTAGCCCATCTATGATAAATAAAAATAAATAGAAGGGAGTGTATTAGTGTACCTGAATCGTCCCAAAATCTTCTCTGTTCTGTCCTGGCTTATTGTTCCACTAACTTGCAGCCCTTCCAATATAAATTGGGCTCACTTCTCACCCAGTTCCTACAATTAGATTGTTCTCAAAACCAGGAATTCAATTTCACAAGTAACAATAACTAAAATAGTGTTTCTTTACTTTCCATTTCAATGAAATGTCGTTGGTAAGAGTTGAGACGTTGATCTCGGGATGCTCTTCTCGACAAATCTTTCTTGCATTTTCCCTATAAAATTGAATACAAAACAGATTTAGAAAAGATTTCAGACTAGAATAGAAAGAATGGAGAAACAAGGCTTTTTGGGTTTGGTTCTTCTTCTTTGTCTTTGTCATCTCTTCCTTTTCTGCAAGAAACATGTGTTGTTGTTAGTGACTGACATAGCTCAAAGTGACATAGCTCAACATAGTTCCATTTCTTTGCCATATGAAATGTGAGCGGTAAGAATCAAATAGTTGACAAACTCTTTCTTGCATCGTACCCATTACCTGTTGAAACAACCACCAAAATTTGCACAACCGAATACACATGAGTCAGCTTAAGTGGACAAGATATGACCGAGACGGGAAATTAAAGACACTGGTGGAATATATTGAGTTAATTAAACTCACATCAAAGAAGACAATATTCTTATTGGTTTATATCGAAACGTTGTGGGAAATGCACATATACTTCTTACAAATAGCATGGTCCATCATGAAACAAATCCCTTTTTGAATCGCCTATTTTTTTTTGAAGTGATGATTACAATCTACGTTCAAAAGATATTCTCCATTTATAAGAATAGCTGTAAGTGTAATAAACGCTTGATCAGGAGAAATAAAATTCAGATCTTAAGAAATCATATTTGCTATTTATCGACTAAGCCAATTACCTAGAAATGTAGTCACATTACGGAATAGTACGAAGCCACTGATCTCATACAACAAAACAAAAAACGCTTCCAAGCCAATGCCAAAAGGGAACGTTAGAAAATCGAAAGTTAAACTGAGAGTACCTCTAAAAAATTACATTGACCTCTATGCTAAGTTAAAAGAAACAGATAAGAGTGTATCAGTGTACCTGAATCATTTCAAGATGGTCTTCTGAGTTGTTACTAGGCCATTGACTCACATTCTGCATTGTCCAACCGTAGTCTGGTATTTTGTGTGCTTTAGCCATTTCCTAGCAAACTCACCCATTTCACAAAAGGATTAAAAAGTTTGCATAGTTGAAGAATCATCACAGAAATAGAACACGCACCTTAATCAAAGTTATGCAATATCAGGTTCTAAGACTTTCACATTTAGCTCCCTAATATTTTAAAAAATATAAAAAAAAGATGTATGGAAATTAACCTGACCAATCATGAGCATTAATCCAATGGCTCTAACACGGAGAAAACATCCGGAAAGCACTATTTACTACACGATTCAGAAGATAAGTCAGGCTTCTGCCTAGATGTTTTCTCCAAGTCATGTTAAAACAATGTGGTATTAGATAACCAATTCCGGTGATTTTGATGGTTGTGAAAACACAATTACCTGCATAAGGATAAGAACATCAAGAGGATCGTTGTCTTCACATAAATGTCCAAGGAACACTATGCAAATAAAGAAAACACTATACAAGTTCTTATTCTCAAACCCACTCCCACTAAATCTAAAGATATATATTTTATGTCAGCCTTCTTGTTAATCTACCAATTACCAATCCGGAGGTAGAAATGAAAGACTTTCTATGATAACAAGTGATTGATTATCAAAATATGGACATGAGGATAAACTTACCAAAACCATAAACCAAACCGGCCAAGAAAAGTCTCCATTTTTGAAACTTACTAAGAAACCAAGAAAAGACAAACCAGGTCTCACAAATAACTGAGGTCAAACACAGAGTATATGCATCTTTCACTCGACGAGGTGTACATTAATGCAAGAAGACTCACAAAATGATAAGGTTTCATGAGAGAGGATGTGATTTGAACCACACGGTTTAAAGGCAGTCTAGCATCATCAACCCTGCAAGTACAAGATCCATCAATAACCAGAAGCATACAATTCAGAAGAACATATAAACTTAGGAAATATTCTATAGTTTGGTGCTAAAGCCCTCCATTGTCTATGGTCTGTCCTTGAAGTTGAATCCTCTGCAATTACATGAAAATTGAACTGTAAGAAAATCTTGGCTTTGGCAATATATCCCAGCCAGAGGAATGAACAAGATAAGAATATTTACACAAGAGATTTGTACTCAAGAGAAACATATCTATGATTTACTTTGGGCTGGATCCGTTAGGATTAAGGTATTTGGTGTTTATCTCTTCCTTGATTTTAGGTTCAATTTTGTCATTAGGCGTTGTTGTAATTAGAAACGAATCATCGATAGATTTCTTCAGTTTTTGGATTTAATAAAGAAACTGAGAGTACCTCTAAAAAATTAACTTGTCCTCTATGCTAAGTGAAAAGAAACAGATGGGAGTGTATCAATGTACCTGAATCATTCCAAGATGGTCTTTAGAGTTGTTACTAGGCCATGGATTAACATTCTGCATTTTGCATTGTCCAACCATAGTCGGGTATTTTGTGTTCTTTAGCGACAAGGATTTTGAACCTCACTTTAAGGTACCCATTTCCTTGCAAACTCAAGCAATTTCACAAAAGGATTGAAAACTTTGCATAGTTGAAGCATCATCACATGAAACATAACACGCACCTTAATCACAGTTATGCAATATTAGTTTCTAAGACTTTCACATTTAGCTCTAAATAAGAGAAAACACAATTACCTGCATAAGGACAAGAACATCAAGAGGATCGTTGTCTTCACATAAATGTCCAAGGAATACAACTGACTAGTCTGGTGAACCTGAGATTAAATTCAATGTCAGCAATCATAAGATTTAGTAGAAAACCATGTTACTGTAACACCATACGAAAAATAACACCTAAGTTTATCCACTGCGGTAGCCCACGATAAGAATTGAGAGAACCGTATTTACTGTTACAAGAGGAGGCTCTTTCATTTGATCCACCGTACTAACAAACACATCTGAGAGAGCCTGCTGTGATGGTTCACCATCATATCTACAATAAAAGAAAAATCAAATGCAAATAAACAAAACGCTATACAACTTCTTATTCTCAAACACACTCCCACTAAAGCTAAGGATACCAATTACCAATTCAGAGGTAGAAATGAAAGGCTTTCCATGATAACAAGTAACTGATTATCAAAAGTTATGTGGAAAGACATCTATTGTAGAAAAATATGGACAAGAGTATAAACTTACAAAGACCAAAAACCAAACCTGTCAAGAAAAGTCTCCCTGTTAACAGGCTTTATCGTCTTTTTCTTATCTGCAAGAAACATGTGCTATTGTTAGTGACTGACTTAGCTCAAAACGTGTATTCTTTGTATTTGATTTGTTATATTCATTATTCCATTTCATGTAGATCTCCTTGTTCCTATTTTCCCCCTATTAAAAAGTTCAAGAATCTACACACAAGTTAGAAAATATTGTTGAACTTTTCATTGGTTCACTCCATTGTCATCTTCGCAACCACATACCTGCTATAGTCACAAGCGTAGCATGATGATTTTGGGAAAAAGGTACCAAAGTCAGAATCATCGTTTCTGTCTGCACCAATTGATGTTCCTAATGACTTCGCGAAAGATAAAACACATAGTAGAAAGAAAACGACCAAGAGTCGATGGAGCTACTCTCAAATCTAAGCAGAAACTTCCATCAAGGAATTAGTTTAAAGCGAGCCTACCATCAACAAGCTCCATAAATCTTAGTCACATATGACTAGCCAAATTCTAAAAATAATTATGAATCATTTTCAAATAACCTGTACTGTAAGCTAGATCTAGAAACTATACCATGTTAGGCTTGAATTACTCCGTTTATTGTAGTTTTTTGTGCTCCGCCTTAAACCCTATGTTAGGTGCTTACGTTAGCTTATGGATCATAGTTCCTAGAGTTAACAAACTTACTCAGTCTTCATTCTTGGTGACAACCTTGGCAACATGAAATGTGCAGAAAAGTAAGCCGAAGCTTATTAGTTCAAAGCAAGCAAACTATCAACAAACTCCATAAGACCATAACACATATGATTAACTAGATTTCAATAAATCTTAAATAAGTTTCACCAAACCTGAAGTGGGAAATAAGTGGAGAACCAGGGCTAATTCTAGAAATTGTACGATGTTAGGCTGGAATTCCTTCATCATTAGCAGTATTTTTTGCTAAACCATAAAGCAAACCGGCCAAGAAAAGTTTCCATTTTTGAAACTCACTAAGAAACCAAGAACAGACAAACCAGGTCTCACAAATACCTGAGGTCAGACACAGGGTATATGCATCTTAATATCTAAACCAAAATATTAATCTCAATATCTAATTCGTCAGATTAGGAAGATGTAAGAAATTACAAACTTGTTAGGCTTGAACTCCTTCATGATTGGCAGGTTTTTAGTTCAACCTTAAGCTAGCTGTGATGGTTCACCATCTTGACCATATCTACAATAAAATGAAACAAAAAAAAAATCAAATGCAAATAAACAGAACGCACAATACATGTTCTTATTCTTAAACCCACAAAGTCATGTCAAGAAAAGTCTCCCTGGTAATGGGATTCCAGGAGATTTAAGGATTCGTTTATTTTCATGTAAGCTTCCATTAACTCGCAGCTCTTCCATTATAAAAATGCCTCTCTTCCTCACCCAGTTCCTACAATAAGATTGTTCCCAAAACAAACAAATCAATAAGATTTTTCCAAAAACCAGGAAATCAATTTCACAAGTAACAATGAATATAATTTTTACTTTACATTTCAATGAAATATGTGGTAAGAGTTGAGTTGTTTATCTCCGGATGCTCTTCTGGACAAACTCTTTCTTGCGTTTTTCCTATAAAACAGATTTAGGAAATATTTGAGACTGGATCAAAGTTAAGGACTAGGAAAGAAAGAATGAAGTAACAAGGCTTTTTGGGTTTGTTAAAGTCGACATTCTCATTCTTATTCTTCGTCTTTGCCTTTGTCATATCTTTCTTATCTGCAAGAAACATGTGCTGTTGCCTAGCAAGTAATTATAATCTTTTCTACCAACCCATCATCAGAAAAGTGTTTACCAGATACCAACATAATATAGTGGAATCGATGATACATTTTTAAGAAATTCAAATGAAGTTCGAGAAATTATCTGAAAGTAGGCCAAGAGCATCAACAACCTTGTTGCTTTTATTTTTTCTCTTCTTCTCCTTCTCTTGTTTTTTCCGGTAGTGCTGCAGCTAACATGGCTTTGGCATCCATTTCTACATCTAACTCTTCCTAGAAGAAGATACATACATTACAATCTCCAAAAATATAACAAAAGAAAGTGAGTTCTTATTCTAAAGAAGAACAAACAGATAAAGTTCAGGTTTTTTGAGAAGGTTCAGATTAGGAAGATGTAGAAACTTACGAGCATGTTAGGCTTGAACTCCTTCATCATTTGCAGTTTTTTCGTTCAACATTAAGCTAGCTGTGATGGTTTGATCATATCTACAATAAAAGAAAATAAACATCTATATCTTAAGCACAAACGACAGTTTCTTGTCAAACCGTAACTCTATAAGAGAGGATTCAAAGAACTAACCAAACATGCATCAACTGTTCAAAGCAAGCCAACCATCAACAAACTCCATAACGCATATAATTAGCTAGATATCTAAAACAATCATAAATTTTTTTCACCAAAACCTGAACTTATTAGTTCCTTATTATGCTTTCTCTCGTTGATATATTTACTTTCCGCCAATAAACTTATAGTCCTGAAATAAAACATACCTTTAGTGCTCAAAATCTTGGAGTCTTCTGCTTGAAATATAAACAAGGATAATCTAGCGAGTAGTCACTGTTAAGGGGATATGACATGAATCCATTCTTCTTGTTTCAGCTTCAAGCGTGTCAGTATCATCGTTAAGGCGATATGACAGGAAGCCATAATTCACGTACAGCCGCTCAATGCATCTTAGATTCAGCCCTATCAACTAGTCACATATAAGATCATTAACCCAAGTAAAAGAAAAATAAACAAATATATATAGCACAACCAGTTTTGATCAGATAAAAAACTTGCCTGCTAAGTGTTCTTTAATTCAAACTAGTGCTTCTATAGAGAATGTGCTGCATTCACAGAAGAAACATCAACACAAAGTAAGGCACTATATTGAAAGTATTGTAGATACAATCATTAAAGGTTTAAGAGACACTCCCATCATTTGGCAGGAATCGATGATACATTTTTAGGAAATTCAAATGCAGTTCGAGAAATTACCTGAAAGCAGGCCAAGAGGCACCAACAACACTACCACGTCTATAATTGAAAACTCATCAGCACTACCCTTGTAATTGCAGCTTTCTTCTTTTGCTTATTGTCATGGCTTCCTCTAGCGGTTCCTTTGTTCATCAATCCAGATATAAGCTTCGGAATACTAAATAAAAAAACATCTAATCAGTGTTGGATGAAATTTCAGATAGAGTCTTTTCACCTTTAGTTTCTTCTAGCTCCATAGAATCTTCTTAGGCCCTGTTTAGTGTGAAAGGTTGACGTAAGAACACGTTTTGTGTGATAAAGCAGAAGCTTAATGTGGTTTCTCAGCAATAAGCTTACCAAAAACCCTAAAAATCCTGAATGATTAATCCTAATTAAAATAAAATAATTACTAGAATAGATAATTACAAATATTGAAGAATTATCCTAATTCTACGCTCAAAGAAAACCTACAAACAATTTAACAATTTGCAAAAGAATAGATTTCTCAAATAGAGCAGAGTACTTACTGTTCGACATCCTGATCAATGAATTGAGGCAAGTGAGAGTAGTAAAAGTGAGTTAAATAATGAAACATAAGCAGTACCTGAGAGCATTATCCTCTGCATTGTCTGGGTCAATTTGTCCCCTCATAACTTCTTGCCTGATAAGTATTCCTTAATTCAAATTGGTGTCTCTGTAGCTATTATGTTATCGTTGATCTTTCCTTAAAGATTTTCCACACGCTTAATGGATGCATTCACACTCTAGTAACATCTCCAACTCAAACCTGAAACCATATCAGTTAGTTAATAGATCCTATGGAAGTATAATTTCTATTTTCCGCAAAAGAAAAACACAACTTGTGAAATTAGAAGGGAAGACTGAACTCACCAACGTAAATGAAAGAGTCTTAATAGAAAGAAATACTAGAACTTTATATACTCTATAGCTTGGAATCTGAATGGGATACTATATAGGAGAAAGCACCAGCCCATATAAACAGCCCATATTGGAGTATGATAATTTGATGAACATCGTGCGTAGTCAGAAAGATCCAGTCCATTTATAGCCTTGGCCGTATGGTCGGTGAGAGACATACATATACTAAAGCTACACTGCTTCGAAACTGTATACTAAAGAAAAAACATCTAATCAGTTTTTTCCTCATTAATTTCAATCAATAAGACCACGGAAAGAAGAAGAAAAACTGAGAATAGATATAAGATGATCAGTTCAAATCAAACCTTAAATTGAGAAAAAAAAACTGACAGAAAACAAGTGATTCTGCCAATGATCAACCAAAAAAAATCAGATTTAATAGTATAACAAAAGAAACAGGTACATGAAATGTTGCAGCTTTGCCATGTACTGACTCCAAATCTTCTCTAGGCATGCGTTGCGTATCTAAAGATATAAGAATTATACATCTCAAGATAATAGATTTTTTAGAATATTCGTCAATTAATAAGATATTTAAACAACTAGAATCACCTTTAATTAGTAGCTTTCTCTTGATTATTAGTGTTGGATGAAATTTCAGATAGACTCTTTTCAGCTTTAGTGTCTTCTAGTTCCATAGAATCTTCTTCTGCCCTGTTTAGTACATCCTGATCAAGATGACTTGACATGCTCGCTGGAGTTCTCTGTTATGGCATGAAGACTATTCATTCCTACAAGTAACCAAAAAGTCAGAGAAGCAAAAAGAGAATTTAGAGCATCAACGACCTTGTTGCTTTTATTTTTTCTCTTCTTCTCCTTCTCTTTTTTTTTCCGGTAGTGCTGCAGCTAACTTGGCTTTGGCATCCATTTCTACATCTAACTCTTCCTAGAAGAAGATAGATACATTACAATATCCAAAAATATAACAAAAAAATCACAAAGAAACTAAGTTCTTATTCTAAAGAAGAACAAACAGATAAAGTTCAGGTTTTTTTAGAAGGTTCAGATTAGGAAGATTGTTGATGGTGGGTTTCGAGCCCGGGCCCAAAACCTTTAACGGGCCTAAAACACTCAACGGGCCCATATTTCCCAGTGGCCCAACAGAAGCCAAAAGAAGCCTAGATTCAACTCTCCACCGACCAAAGGGCAAAAAGGACATTTCATGTGAACAGTGTACCCTACTTCTGCACCCTATAAATAGCAAAAAAGAATAATTGTACAGGGATCCCGATATATAACCGCTTTTACAGAGAATATCATACAACCGTCAGAGCACTTTGCGGCTCGGCTCGTACTCTAAGTTTTTAGCTCGTCTATTTTTGTAATCGTCGGCTCGTTCTTTAAATAAGAGATTCTTCTTTCACCCTAAAGACTCCGAATACGTACTTGTGTGATTTTGAGGATCAACAGTTGGCGCGCCAGGTAGGGGCAGAAGCTCGAAGA